GGATTGGATGAAGCCCTGAATAGCACACTGTGTGGCGGCCGGGGCAGCGGAGGCAACGTCCGGTACGTGGGCAGCATCATGCATGGGCTGGACTGCCTGCGGGCCGCATGTGTTGAAGAGGGGGCGGGCGAGGGATCCTGCCCATGATTGCTGGAGGGGCCAACCTCGCAAGGCGGGCAGATGGTGGGGCACTCATGGTTGACCGCAGAAATCAAGGAAGGGGGAGGGCAGCCCTGGGCCCGCGGCAAAGACTGTAGATGGGAGCGCGACAGGCGAGGCGCGGATTGTCGGGAGAATCTCCGCCCGCTACAGGGCAGCAGGGGCATCATGGGCTGCGGGGCGCCAGTAGATAGGGCGGACAGGGCGACAGTTGAGGGCCCCGTGATGTCCGGCCCAGGGGTGGGAGCCGCAGATGGAGGATCCGAGGTGGGCATGCACCAATCGCTGGGCGCGCGTGAGCTCTCAGGGGCCACATCCAACGGCAAGGCCGCCGCGGGGAGTGGGTGGGTGAACGTTGCGATGGGGCCACCAGGGGGAAGCCGCCAACGGGGTAGCAGACGACCAGTCCACGGGTTGTAGCGCGCCAGCAGCCAGCAGGAGTGGGAACGTCACACGGCTGAACACGGGCGGGCCCGCCCGTCCGGAAAGTGCGGCTGGGTGGGGCCCGAGGAGACCAGCTCAGATGCGAGCAAGCGGCGGGCTAACGACGAGAGCGGGGGCGACGGGCGTCGCCGTTGGCACCACGGCCGGCTGGGGCGGCCCCGGGCCGGCCAGAGCGTGGTGGGAACTCATGACGCCGCGGGTAAGGAGGCAGCACATGCGGCGATGGGGGCTCGAACACGCCTTCATCTTCGCGGGAAGGGGATGGAGAGGGCGCCACATGGAGACGGTAGTCCTCCGAGCTGGAGACATGGATGGAGACTGGGAAGCGTAGGAGGGGATGCCCAAAATGTGTCACCTTGTTGGGGTCTGCGTTCGCCAGGGCATCGTCCGACACCGGCAGAAGTAGCTCGGAGAGGCGAGGGATGGCGTCGGGGTTCAGGGTCCAAGCGGAGAGGCGGAAGACAGCCATGTTCGACATGGACTCTATCTCCGGCGCAAGGTCAATGATGTCGCAGAATGGCGAGAGCAGCGTCTCGGCGAAAGCACGACACCAGGCGTGGTCGGGGATGCCCACCAAGTCGATGCTGACGAGGAAACGCGTCGTCACCGGCTTGCCGCCGGTCAGCCGACTCCAGAGATGGATCAAGAGGCGGAAGCGACCAGCCCTAGTGTTCCCAGCGGCAACCCGCGGTCGGTCACCCGTGGAGTGAAAGCGGAGAAGGAACTCGCCGCCGCCGCGAGGGTGCACAGACAACACACCATCCGCCAGCTGGAAACGCTCCTGGAGGAAAGCCAAGACCTCGGGGCCGAGGATGCCGGTCCGCGCGCCTGCCACAGTGGCCACGAGGGCTCGTTGCTCCAGTGCCAGCTCCGCGGCCGCTAGCACCAGAGAACGCGGTAGATAGCAGACCGCTGCAGCGGGCCGCAGCGAGGGATGGCCCGACATCGAGGAGGCAGGAGAGGCCGAGGAGGCCATCGAGGTAGCCGCAGCGGGAGGGGAGGGCGCGAAGGGCGGCAGCGACTCGGAGGCGGTCGGGGCCGCCGACAGGGAGCGTGGGCATCCAGCGGGAGTGGAGGCGCCAGAGGCCGTCGGAGTGGCGGAGCCGGACCTAGAAGACGTAGGCCCGGAGCACACGGCCACGTTGCCACGACGGCGCTTGGCCGGCGGGGTACCGGAGGATGAGGCGGGAGAGCGCGGGCAATTGCAATGCCGAGCAATGTGTCCGAAAAAAACGGCATCAACGGCAGCGGACGTCGCGACGACATTCGGAAGGACGGTGATCAGGAGTGGGATCCAGGCACCTGGGGCACTCGCCGGAGGGCGGGGCCAGGGGCGACGACGAAGCCAAGCCAACCGCCGCTTGCTGGATCTCGCCAGCTCCCAACCGTCATCCGCAGGGGAGGTGGCAGCGCGGCCGACCCGGAACACATCGGAGCGCAGACCCGCAGCCGGCGCAGGGCGGGCAAGCGGGGAGGGCGCTGCGGGAGGGGAGGCAGAGCGAGGGAGGGGGCAGAGCGCCACGTGGGAAGAAGGCGGCGGTCGATGCGAGGAGCTGGCGCCCGCGGAGGAGGGGCTGGATTCCAGCCACCGTAGCGCGCGGGGACGGCCGCCGGACGGGGAAGGCGTGGCCATAGCGAGGGCAGAGGGTGGCCGCCGCGACTGGAGCGGTCAACGACAGGGCTGGGGAGGTGGTCGCCGGGGCCGTAGTGGCCGGCGACGAGAGCGGGGGGAGCTAGGCTGGGGGAAGCGAGAGCTTAGAGCCGCTTTATGAACATATGCATGTGTACCCTATCTATATGAGAACCTTTGAGTTACTGAGGGACACAACATCTTGAGATTGACAAAATCATCACGTACGCCTCATAGTCGACGGAAACGTCACTTCCCATTGAATGAACATTGCACGAAAAGACTGAAATAAATCTAGAAAAATGCAAACAATAGCGCCAAGTTTAGGACTTTAACTTGATGGGTTTATTCTTCTTTCACTACACGACTACCGTTGGCGCCGCACGCATGTCAGCCCTGAGCATATTCTTCTTTCACTACACGACTAGCGTTCGAGTACTTCGTGCCATCGTTCATACTCAAGGATATGACAACGATGACAACTAGGAATGTCCCAATTTATCTTCACAATGGGATCTTATCTATCAAATGTTCATTTGAAATTCAAAAAAAACATTTGATTTTTTTGAAATATATTTGGATTCTTGCATATACCTGAAATGACCGAAATTCATTGAAACCTCACTGAAAGGGAAACCACTAGTCGCCCAGTAAAATGTACACGCTGTTGTTGCAAATTTTAAGCATAAACGAAACTGGGGTCTTAGCACGACGACTTCCCGACTATCTACTACAACAAGTTGTGCCCGGTTCCGGCGATGGAGGGGCAATGATGACGGTGCGCCTTCGGCTCGCTTCGGTGCTTGTAATCATCGCTGGGTGGTGTACGTATCTGGATGTAATTTGTATTTCCGGTGTTCGTTGTACTGCCATGATCTAAGATTAATAGATTGGAAGTTTTTCCGTAAAAAATAAAAACACGTACGCACCGGAGCCACACATAATTCTATTTTATTTTAGTTGACACGTCCCTGACTAGCAAGCTAGAGACAAGATGGACAGGTCTGATAAAAGAAGCCTTCATGTGCCTGACCTCAGTATCTCGAGCCCCGCACCCCGTGTGATGACATACTCTAATCATAGAGGAAAATTAGCATCAAACTTACAATATGCAAGCTACTAACATGCTAACGCATACTTCCAAGCACGCCTCCAATCTACAAATGGACTACATAGAAAGACACAGATTTGGAATTGCCTCCTCACTCTTGGGCATGCCGAATCCAAGTAGCTATCGGCCATCAATAACCTTGCCTGGTTGGCTGAATTGACACCTCAACCTCCAGCTTCAGCCCGGTCTGGTGTAACGGTAGATCATGTCATGTCCATCTAATATGATTGATTGAACGGCGGAGGGTATTCAGACATGTATGCTAAGCTACAAGTACTAGTAGTTATGGGTTCACCCAATTACAAAAACGTAGGAATAGAAAAAACATATGATTGCAACGTCATGTCCATATGAATTCTACATTTCTTGGGTTTATTTGATTGCATCACACGAAAAGACAAAGGATTCTTTTCAAAAGGTTTGAGTAAATGCTAAAATTCCTATAGAATGTAGCACAAAGGAATCATTAGGGAAAATATCCCGTAAGATTCAACCATACGAACTAAACGACAAATGTATTATTTTTTTTCAAAGAATTCGAATACTTTAAAATTCATACGAAAACCCTTTGAATCAGAAAGGACTACAAGTGTGCTGATCATGGAAGTGTGAAAACCATTTTCAGAGAACATAGGAAGTGCCAAGAATGATCACTATGTTCAGTTCTATATTTAACTTCCTCCCAACACGGCCACACGAACTACCGAAAGAGTAGACATGTCACATGAAAGCTGCCGGGCACCAGCAAATGGCCAACCAGCTTGAGCCACACTATTGCACTGACAGCGTGCATGCATGCATGCACAGCATATTGCGCACAGATGATGTATAGGCCCATTCCCTCAGACACGATACGTCCCACGACATGCTCAAGGTGAGGCGTGGGTCGGTGATGGCCGTCCAGACAGCATCGGTCAATTTTGGATTTTTTGGGTGCGACTATTGGTGCTGGGTCCTCTCTGGTTTTGTTGTCAGGTTTTAGCAGGGATCCCCACGAGAAAAAGAAGGCATACGGCAACAAGTAGCCAAATGTGGTGGTTCCCCATGCCGGCCCCTACTACCAAATTATTGTTGTACACTCCACTGTTAGACATTTCCTCTCGCTCATGACTCCCAGGTTCAGTCACATGTGATGTTATGGCTCACAGACTGAGATAATTAAGATCACATTATGCTAACACAGAGGGTTGAAAAGATTATACACGCTACACAAAGTAAATCTATATCAATATTATCAACCAAGATTAAGGGTCAATTGTTTTGGGCGATTCTCCCTCCCCAGCTTTTCCAAGAATCGACATTCTTTTTTTTTTACAATCCTATCTAGTTATGGTCCAAACAATTCTATCTAAAAAACGAAACAAGCTTTAACGAGTCGAGCCAGGCTTGACTCGGCTCAAATTCCAGCCCTAATCCTTAGGGGCAAGGAAGACTTTTTGACTGCCATCGACAATGTCATGCTGACTCCAAGCCGATTACGTGGTGACATTTTCGTTCTTCAAATGGGGCCTAATTTACAAATATGCCTAAGCCTAGGCGCCAGTATGCATTTTGCATCATGTGTACCTTAGCAAAGACACGGATGAGAGAGCGTTCTACAAGAGCTTCCTCTTCTCGTCGCTCTCTCCATTATTGTCATCTGCCACAGGCACCACCATGGAAAAGCTGCTCGCCGTAGTGTGTGTTTCAAGCCTTCTTCTAGCCGCTCTTGCGGACGATGCCTCCTCCCGATCTTCTCTTCAGTACCCCTCCCTGGACAGTCTACAAGGTCGTGTTCTAGGTCGCAAAGGCCGAGAAGAGCCAGCACACCACCATTACCGGCGTGAAGGCGAGCACGAGCAGCATCATGAGGTCAGTTCACATGTCTCCCCCCAAAAGCTTCAGAAACGCAAAAACAGGGTTTCTCTTGTGCTTTGCGCAGAGACTCTGCGGCTGTTATTCAGCTGTGTGCCTGTCTCTGCACGAAGCACACACCATTTTCTGCTCAGAAGAAAATTGTTTTGCTCATAGGAAAATACATGGCGATGAGGTGCACATGTGCAGGTTGTACCTATGGGAGTGGAGAGTGCTGAAGAGAGGAAGAAGGCAGGCTGGAGGAACGAGGACGAGGACGCGGTTGCGACGGAAGGGTTGATCTCCAGCGCGGACTACAGCGGTGTGGCCATGCACGGCCACAGCTCCCTGCCGGCGCACAAAAAGCACCCCAAACCATAGGATAGGCCTCCGGCTCTTCATTTCGTGTGTAATCTTGTCCAGTTCAATGTCCTGCTCTTTGTGCCTTTAGCAAAGTAGTAGTAGTCCGGTTTTATGGAATTGGTGTATCTTGGGTTCCTCGCCGTCTTTGTAAAAGATGGCCCACGATTTGATACGGATCTTCGTTAAAAAGAAAAATCGAGATACATAGTAGTCCAGTTTTTGGCCTTTGTTGCTTGAGGCCGGGTGTGCATCGTGTTTATGTCCCCTTGATGCTTCATTTTGAGTTAGTAAAATTCACGCTTTATCAAAAAATAACTTGTGCCTTTGTTGGTTCGCTGTATGGTACAGTCGCTGTTTGTCGGGGGTTGGCTCCGGCGGGCGGCACTCGATGACGACGATGATCCGTGGGGTGCACCGTGCACCCAGCAGGTTCAACACCACCAAACGCGGAACGCACGGCACACGCACTCCACATACGGCGCTGTCGTGGCCACCCAGGGCAAAGCACGGTGAAGTGTGCACGGGTGGGGAACCTGGGAGGCTCCCATGGACTCCCATGCCAGTGGCGCCGCACGGCAGCCGTGTGGACATGTCGGATGTCGCCAACTCGCCATTGCGCAGTGGGCACAGGGTGGCTATCGGCATAATTCAGTTGCGCAAATAAACGCTGCCATGGCAGCCAAAGTCGACAGGCGTTTTCAGTTAGCAGTTTCTTCACTACTTTTCTGTTAAGTTCAGTATCTGCACAAGGGCACGCTCGCTGTGTGCTCCATGCGTATAGGGAGTATGCCAGCTGCACGACTTCGTCCGTGGGATGGCACAGGCATTATGGAGCTAGTTGCAAGCTATGCAGCACAGCCGTACGGCACGATCTGTTATTACTGAATAAAAGGAAAAGAAGAACAGAAAAGCAGCAGAACTTTGCGCAGCATAATTCCTTGTCTCGTTTCTTCAGAGCGTGTGTGCTCGAACTGAGAGAGAAAGAGAGGGCCGTCCGGCAACAGTGCCAGCCGGCAGCGACCATCTGCAAACGGACCGCCCTCCTCCACAGTGGTCATAGCGGCGCCTCGCAGCTTCGTACGGGGCACTGACATTTACAGACGGACCAAGTTTTCTTTTCGAGCAAACAGGCAAGAGCTCTGTCTTTTCATTAAGAAGAACGGAATTAAACCAACTTGTAGGGAAAACGGGCCGAAAACCGATACATCTGCGACAAGCGCACACGCCGGGCCCAAGGCTGTGCACCAATCGAGCAGACGGGCCAAGTTGAAAGGAAAAAATAATCCTTTGTGTGATTCATTATCCTTTTAATAACGTAGTTCTCCGAATGGACTCAGGTACAGTGTACAGACCCAACAGATCAAATGGACTCAGTTCAAGCGAAAAAACATGCGAAGTGGTTCTACAAACTGTGAGGATTTTGTACAGACAGTGCCCCGACGGAACCACAGGATCAACAAGAATGGACGGCCAACGGTCTCGCCGATTTATTTTCTTTTCCCCGGAAGAATTCGGCCTTTTCAGGTCCTTCATACCTTCAGCGCCAGCTTCTTGGCAGCGAGGGCCTCTGCCTCGAGGGTCGGCTCCCACAGGATCGTGGTCTCGGCCAGCAGCGCCGTCACGGTGTATGGGTCCATGTTCGAGGCCGGGCGACGGTCCTCCAGGTATCCTGTTGGGCAACAAGGTATCGTTTTCAGTTCAAAAATGCAGACTACCAAGCTACAACACATAGGTGACAGCAGATTACCAGTATAATATATGCAAGAGGTTAATTTGAATTTTATTTGGGTTGTCATAATTCCTTTTCTGCTCCGCAAGACTTAGGCTTGCCCAATGTACTTGAATTTTATTTGGGATGTCATAATTCTTTTTCTGCATTCCCAACCATTGCAAAGTTTTGCAGAACAAGGGAGAGCAAATACCTTTGCCCTTTGCCTCAGTCTCTCGCCCCACACGAATAGAGCAGCCACGATTCGCGACACCCTGATAAACAAAGTGTTATGATCAGTATAACTTGCAAATAAACAGGAAGTAAAATACAACTAAAAATGAAAGAAAAGGTTTGCTCCAGCCATACCCATGAGAAGTCTGATATGCTAGCTGTCTCATGTAGCCCTGTCAACCTCCGTTCGTTTCCTTCACCATATGCGGCTATGTGCAAGTCATGGCGGAGTGAAAGGTTCAGGATTGCCTTCTTGATCACGTCGAAACCTCCATCCTCACGCATGCTCAATGTGCTACATTTGCAACAACAAGACAACACGGTTTATCACTTGCAAATTAAGGTGATGCTCTATCGGGTATTGAGAAAAACTACTAAAAACGTTAGTAAATACATGTCTATTCTGAATAACATATGATAATAATTCTAAAATAACCAACACTGAACATCCATGCCCTGTTTGAAATATAGTATCTCGAGGAATATTTTCACTTAGTATTTACTTCAACACAACTAGTCAGCTGCAATAGGTTTTCTGATTTTTTTTTTAATATATACATGTGGCAAGATATAGGTTTCTTAAGAAAAACACGGCAAGATATACTTTATAAAAGTTACACCAGATGAACAAATATTAACAGAAAAGAGTGAAACCTGTAATTTGTGTGGCAGCCAGCTCCATTCCAGTCACCCTACATCAGATAAATCTTCAGAATAGTAATTTCTAATATATAAAGTGCTTCAAACAACTTACAGGAATATACCTGGATTGGTTTTGGGTCAAGGGTGAGCACGACACCAGCTTGCTCCGTGATTCTCTGATAACAGTGAGTAGGACGATAATTAGAAGTCTTATTAATGAGAAAATAATATCACAAAGAATGGTCACCTGATCAGTTGTGGATTTATGAGATTTGATGTTTTAGTGAAAACTGTTTTTATGGTATTTACGAAGGGCATTCTTCAAAGTGTCAAAATAAATCATAAACTCATAGCACATGCACCTATCGGGTTTTCGATAATGTAAAAAAGAGAGTCGACTTATTAGTCATATTATGCTAATTAAAAGCAAATAACAAAAACACTGTGATATCAGGCCATCAGGGGACCATGGATAGTTGTTTGAAGTACCTCGAGAATGTATCTTGAAGCCCATATGTGATCTCCTGCATCAATACCAACGCTGGGTCCAACCTGGTACTCCCACTGCATGAATACAGGTTGTAAATTTTCAGTTATTAAACAGTTCGATTTTCCTTTAAAAGAAGAGGTCAAAAACATCACACTGATTCACACATAACAAGAATAATTCATGCACGCATATAAATACGGAGGCATACCTGACCAGGCATGACCTCCCCGTTTGTTCCACTGATTTCAATTCCGGCGTAAAGGCATGCCTTGTAGTGAGCATCTGAAATGTCACGGCCAAATGACTTGTCTGATCCTACGGCGCAGTAGTATGGACCCTGCAACATTTCAGCAAAAATATTACTACTTGGTTGTTTGTTCAATGAAGTGTATATTTCAGTCAGCCTAAGATTTATCGTCATCTGGTAAATCAAGCCTCTTGATGCAGTACCTGGGGGCCAGGGTACCCTCCAACAGGCCAGCCAAGAGGCCAGTTCACATCCCTCTGCATCAGAGTGTACTCCTGTTCGATTCCAAACCTAGAAAAGCAAATGTTTCAACTTCGTGTGCAAACAAATGTGAGCTAAAAAAATAGCAGGTTTTTTATGTAGCACAGAGTTACTCGACACTTAGTTACCATGGCACTTGTGAAGTGACCTTGGGGTCACTGAAGATTTGTGCAGCCATGTGTCGTTTGTTAGTAGGGATGGGTTCCCCTTGTGGTGTGTAGGTGTCACAGATAACCTGAAAAACCAAATTCCGTATTAACTAACAAGCCGATTTTACACATGTAACCAGTAAAGTGACCACTGGTATTAATCATCTCTTCATGATTAACATAAAGCACATTCAGAAAGGTACCAGTATGTTGTTGCCTCCTCGGAATGGGTCCTTGAATATGGCCTGTGGGCTGAAAGCAGGATAGAAAAACATGAACAGAGTTAGCAAAGGCCAAAATCTAGAATACTCTGTGTGTGCAAGGCTGCAAAAGCCGAAAACATGGACAGTAATTTCCCGCTTACTATAGGATGACTTCACTGTCTTCTCCAGGAGCCTGGCCTGTGCTCGATCCATCGTAGTTCCATTTCGGTAGCTCTGACGGGTCCTCCACTGGCTTCGAAATCGTCTGAAACAGTAGCATTGCATTTTCTTGTCAGTAGCAAAAATAGGAAGTAGAGAAACAATACTCTGCAGTCAACTGCTCATCCCCTAAACTTGTGGAGAAAAATGACTGCTCATCCCCTAAACTTGTGGAGAAAAATGACTGCTCATCCCGGAAGAACACTAGTGCAAACTATGCATGCAAGGAAACAGCGATAATCGTGATGAGCATGAAGATATGGGGTGAGTACCCTTGATTTGCTTCTGAGGTCAATTCCAGATCCTCCAACCCTGCACAAAGCGAAGAAAGAAAGAAAGAAAAGGCGAAATGGTCAGATTTGTTAACAGTAAAATGCTACTAGAAACATAATAGTGGTGCATGGCATGACAGGATCGACTCCTGGTTGCTCCCCAAAAGTGGTGTGTCCACTCCCCTGCTAAATCTTATTCAAGTGCGGGAACTAAAAAGGGCAAAAGACAAATCACCCACCAGGCCTTGAAAACTTTGTCTATTATTAGCAGTGAGTATCGACTTTAAGGGTGCAAATCCGCACTGCACTGCTCGCTCCCGTGCTAATCTAATCTAATCTAATCCAGTGTAATCCCCTGAAAGTGCAGGCTTGGCCTATCCCAAGCTACTACAGTACTAGAGTGCTCTCATGGAAGTCAATCAATCCATGGAAGCGAACAGGGTCCGCTGACGAGAAAAGAGCGGCGACATTTGCGGGGAAGGGCGCGTAGCAGTGCGCACGTACCAGATGTACTCGGCGATGATCTTGTCGGTGAAGGGCGTGGTGTCCATGTCGAGCAGCTGCTGCATCCTCTGGATGACGCCGGTGGTCTC